CTCAGTCCACCATCTCTTTGTCACCCTCTCACTCTCTGACTTCTCGGCCTCAGCAGACTACGAGCGAGAGAGAGATTGGTGATTTTGGGGATGTTGACGACAGTGGGATACAGACTCGACTTCAGAATAGAGACATTGATGAGGGACTATTTGGGATCGATACCAGGGACACTTGTGTGACGACATTCCCATCTTCTCCCTCATCTTCGTCAAATCCCCCTCCTCTTCGTCTGTGGATGTTTGGGGCTGGCGCACTCTTCCTGTGTGAGCGCCAGGCCTCTTCCCAACTTGTAATGATGATGATGTATGTTTACTCTGCATTGCAATATTGATTGGGTTGATCATTGGAATCCTAGCATTCCGCTGTGCTATCTTATACTATGTGAGGTCGGTCCTTGTTCTCTTTTGCACCATTACGGTATTCAACAGTTTGGTATCTCCTCCCCCTCTCACATGTGTGAAGTATGATGGGATATCCTGTCAGTCCCGATCAGGTCAGGACTTGTATCCAAGTCTTCCACTGCGCTACAAAGTGCCATTTTTGTATGTATCAGGATGTACACTGCTTGTTGAGACTCCACTAGCACTGAATTGTCCATTCAGTCATTTTCATCACCTTGCGGATCCTTGGCTGTACATACATTGCCCAACTGGGCATGTAACAGTTGGTATCGGAACACCGCACGTGAATCAGGACAACCTGATCTGACACGTGTGCAGGGACTAATTAGTTTATTAGTCTTGATTGATTGATTGATTGATTAGAGCACACTAATTAGCCCCAAAAATCGTGATTTTGACCTAACTGCCGAAAATCATTTTTTTTTCTTTTCTTGGATTTTGTTTTCCCGCTATTTCGGTTGTGGAAAATCGCAATAGTGCAACACCTGAAATTTCCGTTTTCATTTTTTCTTCTGAAAATTCGAAATTTCGTTGTCGGAAATCCGGAATATTTTTTTTCAAAAATTCCAATTTCCTTTTGCAATTTCCTGTTATTTGGAAATCCGGAATATTTTTTGAATTTCCGAAATTCGTTTTTAGGGATTTGAAAACGGTATGGGAAATCCCTCTTGCAGTTATCATTTTCCAAACTGTGCGTACTCTCATCTGAGTAATTCCGAATATTTTTTTGTATTTTATCTTCAGAATTCTTTTATCGGATAATCATTTGCAGTCTGAAAGTTCGAAATTTTTTTCCTCATTGGTAATTTCGTACTTCAGGGGAATTGGGAGGCCTACTGAACTTGCAAACGAGTATTTTATTTTTTTCTCACGAATTTTTTTTGCAAAGTTCGAACTTTTCTTTTTGACTAGTGGCTTCTTATCTGGGCGATCAACCCATCCCTCCCCACCTATGTTGCTCCCCCCTCTGGTCTTATCTTCTCTATGTGTCTCCGGGTACCCCCTGCGGCGGCATTGGTGAGTTGCCAAGTCAGCAGGCCATGTCAGCAGACCACGTCAGCAGACCATGTCAGCAGACCACGTCAGCAGACCATGTCAGCAGGCCACGTCAACAGGCCACGTCAGCATGCCACGTCAGTCGACAGCCACGCCATGTCAGCAGCCAAGCAGTGCCACATCAGCAGCAGGGAGTGCCATGTCAGCAGTCCTCCGGCCATCAGTCACATGCTCGCCAGATATAGACTCTGTGTTCTCTCCGCTGCGTGCTATGCTCTGAACGCTATCGTTGTCGTGTTCTATTCTGTTCCACTTGCTAAAGATGATAGTTCCTGTGACGGGGCGGAGGTAGAGCAGCGAGGTCAGGAAAGAGAGAGGGAGGGAGTAGGAGCACACACACAAACTCACTCAACTCGACACGGACTCGACACGACTCGACGGACACAGACACAAAGTGGCAAAGTCGCAAAGTCGCAAAGTCGCAATCTTGGTTCCGTACACAATGTCGCAGCAAGTCACAGTGAAGCACAAGCACTGAGGCCGAAAACTGAGTCCCCAAACTCAGCTTGAGTCCGGTCTTAAGTACCAGACTCGAGTTGAGTCCGAGGGAAAAAGTGCAATTTGCCTCGGGGCTGAACTGAAAATCGAAGGTCTGAGTCTGGGCGCCAGAATGCCGGATGGCGCCAAGTACGAAATCCGAAAGTGGCAGAGGCTGGATTTGAGAACGGGCGCCAACTGCAGAGGGCACCAACAGTCAGGAACCGGAGATCGGAAACTCCAAAAAAAATAGAACAGCAGCCTGGCGGATGGTACCCCGCGGACCTGGGATCGAGTCCTGGCTGAGTCCGTAACAGTTCCCTTATGGATACGTGCGATTCTACCTTCAGCAAGGTGACTAGTTTGGAATTCTCTTAGAAGGTCTTGTGCTTTGTCAGGTTTACTATCCATCTCCCTCTTTGTCTTTCTCCAGTGGACTGTGATTTCTGTGTCTACCTGGGTCCGTATCAAGGTCCAGGCTTCATTTGTGGACTCTGTATTCTCCTCGACTAGCTTCTCCATTGAAGCGAGGAATTTCCTCCCCCAACTGATTTCTCCCCTATCGATTAGTAGTAGCACACTATACCTTAGTACTCTTTCTATCTTCTCTCTGACACCTTTTGCAACCACTTTCCCGTTGGTGCCTTCCTCTTACATAGAAAATTCCTAACAGTGTGCCTATTGTTACATGCTGCACCTGCACACGAGGGCCATTTTCCAGGCCCTGCGTCCCTCAGGCTGAAAGCCTGAAAACCAGGGCCTATAGGCCCCGTGTCTGTTCAGCTCGAAAGCCTGAAAAACAGGGGCCTACAGACCCTGTGTCGTTTCAGACTAAAAATGGCAGTAGCCTTTTTAGCCTGAAACGAAGGGCCATTTTCGGTCTTTCATCAGACCGGCCTGCCCTGAAACTCAGGCACCA